TTTTTCATGATATTATACAGGCTTTGTATACATCAATACTTAATCATTCTTTAACTTTTCACCTGTCAATTGAAGTCTTTAAAGGTTTTTTCTAATGTGACATAATCAGTTTTTTATTATATTTGGTTATCGATAAGAATAAACATTTCTCTGAAGAATCCATGAACCTATAGATTTGGTTGATTATGGACTGATATTTTCTACAAAAACTCAACACTAATATTTCGACCATTTCGAGTTGGAATAAAATTCCATATATAGGGTTTGATAGAGAAAAGTCTTCTCTACAAAACCCACTAAGTCGCCAAATTGTGGAATCCGTCTTAAGCGACTTCCTGAGAATCTAGTTTCAGTACCCTCACTTTGCAATAGGGAAGAAGAATGGCTCTGAAAAAAATTTTTTTAGATTAATGAAATATAACAAATAATATATGAGCGGATGCAACAGATCGCGAGGAACAAGAATACACAGTTGCGATTGATTTTCGCTTATTCAATGTCGAAAAAGTAAAAACAACAAAACATAGAAAATTTCGAAATATTTTGCCTTTTTTTCATTTAACCCTTTGGCTCCCGGCGACATATATATACGTCCTGGTATTTGTTCATTGTTAGTATATGGATCATGTATTAGTTGTTCTTTGTAGAATTATTCCTCTTAGCTTATTATCATTTTTGGATATTCCAGGGTGGGAAAATTCCTTTTCTTTATTAACTTATATAGTGTTATGACCGATAAGGTCATCAAGGTCATACGTTAACCCACTTCCCAACTTGTACATATCTTTTCTTTTTTTTTTTGCCTGTCATGTAGATCTTTCTCCTTTCTTTTGCTATTGTACATGACGTCATCTTGTTCTCTTTTTAGTGTTCTCTTTCAGGAACCTTCGAGTAGGTTTTCACTCTCTCTATTTCTCTAGTATATATATACCCGCTTGCGTTCTCATTCTATTCAATCTAGTCATATTCTAGTCATTGTGATCCAACTATCGTTGTTATTGGTTCTCTTTCACTACGACATACTAGTCCATTAGGAGTTCGGAATAAAACACGTGATAATACATCTTAGACAGTTTTTGCACTCTAGTTTGTGTATATCTGTACGCGAAGATAAAGTGTGAACTATTCGACACATCGATATATAGCGATTGATCATTATCGTGTCGAGAATGGCTGCTTCAAGAAGAAGTTTGACTAAGTACGAAACTGGAGAAATTATGAAAAACTCTCAATCCGACTTATCATCAGAAGATGGCCTCCTAACCACTTCCAGTAGCATATCTACTGATTCTGATCATGAAGATGCTTCCGGAGAACGTCGGTGGCAGTGTGAAATATTTAGTCCAATAATATCGCGGTTCGATGGTAAACCTGGTGTATGTGATGCGATTTCACTTGTAGGAAGAACGCCACTTGGTTATTTTCATTTATTTTTTGATGAGACTATAATGAACCATATAGTTGACGAAACTAATCGTTACTATTCACAGAATCCAGTAGGTGAACGCCAGCATATGGCTGACTGGAAAGACGTAACCTTAGGAGAAATGCACGCTTTCCTTGCAATCGCAATGCTTACTGGGCTTATCGACAAGAATAGGATTCAAGGCTATTGGAGTACTGATCCATTGTTATCAATACCCATTTTTGGTCAGTATTTTACAAGAAATCGATATCAAGACATTCTGCGCTATATGCACTTTGCAAATAACGAGGACATTTCTGGCGATGACCGTCTTGCGCAAATCAGACCAATCATAAATAACATCAAGAGGAAATTTTCAAACTGAGTCAATCCAACACGAAATCTTTGTATTGATGAAAGTCTCATTTTATGGAAAGGAAGACTTGAATTCAAACAATATATTCCATCCAAGCGCCGTCGATTTGGAATCAAATTATTTGAGCTTGTTGATGCTCAAACTAAATTTATCCTTGACTTCATTGTTTACACCGGATTAAGTACAAAGTTTCAAAATACACCTGGCCTTGGAGTAGGTGGATCAATTACTATGGAACTCATGCAGCGTTATTTGAATAAAGGGCACAACTTATATGTTGACAATTGGTATGCGAGCCCAGCACTTTTTGAGCTGTTACATCGAAATAAAACTGGTGCGTGTGGCACTGTTCGTAAGAATAGAAAAGGCTTACCAAGTCTCACAGCTAAACTGAGTAGAGGCGAAAGTCAATATTATCATACCAATATTTTACTTGCACTTAAATGGCAGGACAAACGGGAAGTTCTAATACTCTCAACTATTCATTCACCAGTATACGTGAATACATGCAAAATAGATCGGCGAACTAGAGAAGACATTCGAAAACCTCTTTGCATTCTCGACTACACTAAAAATATGGGTGGAGTCGACTCTGTTGACATGCAAATTTCATTTTCGGAATGCGTACGAAAGTCAGTAAAATGGTACAAGAAACTGTTTTTCCACATGTTGGACATGGCACTACATAATGCATTTGTAATTTACAAAATGCAGAATAATGTTTCGTTCTACCTATCTGATTTTCGGCTTGATATCATCCGAGGACTTTTGACAAAGTATGGACCGCAAAGACCAACTACTATTGGAAGACCGCCAACAAGAGATTCCCCTCTTCGTCTCACTGCTCGACATTTCCCTTCGCTTATTCCACAAACATCACAATCAAAAGAACCTCAGAGAAAATGCGTGGTTTGCACATCCCATAATGTTCCATCTGACACACGGTATATGTGTGTTGACTGCAATGTGCCTCTATGTATTGTTGATTGCTTTAAAGATTATCATACAAAAATAAACTACTAATGCTTCTTTGTCATAGAAACGTGATTTCCTTCAAAAAATAAATAAAAACCATATTTAAATATTTCTTATAAAAGTTTGAATTTTCGCAAAAAAAAGCCGGGAGCCAAAGGGTTAATGCATTTTCCAGCTAAACTTGTGGATCTCATATCTTCTCTATGTAACGGTGTTCGAAGTTGATTTTTGTGTACTCAAAAAGTGAGTACACTATAGAATAGTCAGTGTGTCCGGCCGTCCGGTTGGCTGTTTACATGATAACTTTTGACAGCAGAGTCAGATTGCGATGAAACTTTCTATACAGCTTAGTCTTGATAACATCTAAGTCGGGTTCGAAGATGAGAAGGACCGACCGAGCCGTTCCTGAGTTATTGCAAAAATACCCATTGTTCCCTATAGCGTTCTGTGGAAAAATGGACCCATCGCGACTTTCGTAATAGACTTTTCCTATCATAGTCAAATTAAAACCCCAACTATTATATACCATTCGATAGAGAATTTGAAGAGCTACAAAATGATATATAAAACATAAAGAAACAAGAAGGTTGACTTACCTATGACAAGGATAATTGAAGAGAACTAGGTTATATTTTGGTTCACCATCTAATTGATCCACAAAGAGAGCTCTATCTTCCGATCACAGTGATGATACTCCGAGATTTTCAGCGATGAAGAACTCGAATGTGTACTGCACTTCCATCGAAATACTATCAGTTGTGCAGTAACCAATAGAAATGAAGTTATAGGAAAAATGACTTTGATAGATAAATCAAGGGAAAGAGGTCAAATCTGAGCTGTATTCGGTCTCAAGTCCAATTGGTTTGGTAACCCGCAATAGAAATCAACCTTTTAAATGGTAGATTTCACAGTATAATTTTGATGTTCAGACAGTCTAGGATGATTGATTTGTATGATTCACGTTTTGAAGTACACATAACTCTCGGATTTAAATCCAAAGTTTCCGCATTTATTTTACTGTAAATATAACTTATTAAGATCTACAAAATGAAATAACTTTCGATTGATTTCAAGGAGTCATGCGTTTTCGTGGTCGAAACTCCATGGAATAGCCCATCTGTATGGATTTGGAATGGGAACACACCTCTATTCTTGGTAAAAAAAATGAACTCGTTTGGTCGAGGCGATAATGGACATATATAATTTTCTGTTCGATAATGTCACTATTGCGCTATCCTGTATATTGTTTTTTTTCCTACGTGTGAAAAAGAAAAATTTTCTTATTGATGTCAATAGTTATACTTAACAAAGATTCTCACTAATCTTGTCCGTTCGGATTTGGAATGTGAACATGCCTTTATTCTTGGTAAAAGAAAATGAGTGCGTTTGGTCAAACCATAGTAGAGATATTCAAGCATTTTTTTTTATTGTTCACTTATTTATGGCCTACCCTGTATAATACTACTCTTTTTCTTTTTCTTTTCTTTTCTTATCTGTCTCTCCTTGAGTTTTGTGTGCTAAGCACCACTGTCGTGGCAATAATCATAAAGGAAAAGAATAGCTCAAAGATTTCGTTGATAACGTTTTTTTTGCCGATTGTGTCGCAGAATGTTTGCTCCTCATTGTCAAAGTATTTTTTTAAGTTACACGATAGAGCGAACAATTCTATGTTAATCTATATGTCCTGTTAGAAAATATTAAATGAAATACGATTCCTGTCTATCTATTATCAATAACTGCCGTACATAATGCATTTCAGGCAAGTGGTCGAAATGATTCGTGTCTTTTTCATACTCCACTACTGCACCATAAACATCTTCCATCGATTCCAAACGACAGATTTTCTACTTTCAATGAATAGTTTTCAAATAGAGCTGACTTGACATGAAAATTTTCTCTCTCCTTTGTTGCACTTCTAGTGCGATGCCGAAAGATACTGTTTCTGATGCTTGTTAGATAAGTAAAAAGCTACTATAGTTTTCGAATGAGGCAACTGCACATTTCGTCTGAAATCCTAATATAAATCTTTCTATGAACTCAATTAGGAGTAAGCACTTGCAAAGTGCCAGCAAAGCAAATTGCAGGTGTGGGTCTGGGAGTGGGTGAGCGTGGGGTGTGGATGTGGGAGGGTGCGGGTGTGGGTGTATGTGTGGGTGTGGGTGGGTGTGGATGTGGGTG